AGAAGTGGCTTGAGGTCGGGAAATAAATAATATTTTATTTTTAAAAAATTGAGTTGGTAAGAACTGAGGGCAGAAGGATTGGGAGAGGTTAAATAGAAATTATATTTCATGCTATGTATCAAGTAGTATAACAGTACTCTACAACAATGTATTATATGAATTTCAATACAGAAGAGTTTGCATGCTCTCTGTACATAGACAATACTTGAAGAATTGAAAATTCATATTTTTCTGATTTAATCTTTACATATTGCATGCATGTGCAAGTTATTGTCATATACTCCATAAATATTTGCAAATATATGTAAGGTACAAGATCCCAATGATGAATGTAACTGTACTGTGTACCTAAAATGTACCAATAAACTCAATGAGGAAAAAAATCAAAATTAAATAAGTTAAATTAAAATAACAAAAATAGTGAGAAATATGAAAATGAAGTCAGATAATAAACATTTTAAAAGACAATATTTTAATAAGTCATAGGAAGCATGGAAGAATCATGAAATCATATTGTGACAGTTTTCATTCTTAACATTCAAAGCCAAGGAATTAACTGACCAATCCCAGGATCTTTTGACATTACTTGCAGCTTTTAAAATAAATCATATCACATGTTTTGGTTTTAAAATACGAAAAGGCAATCTTGACTATGAAAAATAAAATATGTGTCATTTTGCATTAGAGGTCCCCTTTAGAAATCAGTGTATCTATATTCCTTGATTAATAAATGGTGGTATCATTTTTGGTCATCTACAAACTATTATCTTTTATGAAACTTCTATAGGTTATTCTCAAATCCTAAACATAGCTACCATAACATAATTTTTAATTAAGGAAACTGAAAGAAAATTTATGATGTAACTCAGATTTATATTGGAGTGAAAGCAAAAAAAAATTTTGTGAATGCTTGGAAAGATCAGAGAAAAAAAGACATAATGGTCATCAGTAGGATGATAATTTTAAAAGGGTGTAGTCAAGGGTTTAAAAGTTACAAACACTAAGGTTTAGCTTAGTGGTTCCACTGCCTGCTTCACAAGTTCAAGGACTTGAGTTCAATCCTTGGGACAAACATAAATAAATAAATAAATAAATAAAATAAATAAAGTTACAATGGTGACAAATAGAAGACTGAAATTAAGCAATTGTCTTTGAAATATACGTACACATATGTAACTGAAAGTAAGGTAAAGGTGATAATGGTAGGTAACTGTACTTACATTGAGAGCTAACATTTTTGAACTTCTATTTCACCTTTCTGCAAAATTCACTTGTTTCATATGAGAAACTTATCACAGATTTTTTTAAATGACTTCAAAAATTAAAAGAAAAGCAGTGATCATATATTTTGTTATGTATGGACACTTATTTTAGATTGTTTTTAGTCTTTAGTTCAACGAATTATTATATTTATCTATTTACAGATGGGCAAGTGAGATTAAGAGAGACTAATTCAAAAGACAAGCTAAGTGGGTGGGATTCACATAGTGAATTTGTTATAAAGCCTCTGTTCTATCTAGTCATGAAGACATGTAATTTAAGAAAATTAATAACCTAATCATGACTTCTTCAATGTCTTTACTATTTTGTTACAGGCATTATTTCCTCAGGAGGAAGAAAAAAACTCTTGGAAATTAAAAAGAAGACAAGACAATTTCAAATGGTTATTTCTCCCACCCTAATCTCATCTCTACCTCAATCTGGAGTCACTCTATAACTTTGGGAAATTACCAGTGAAGTTACATGATAAAATTTGAAACTACTAAATAGTATTTCTTTACATTTCTATTGTGCATGGAATCTAGTCTCTAACAGTTACTAAAACATCTCCATAAGCCAACTGCTTTAAGAAAGACCTCTATAACAATCAGAACAACATGGTGCCATTTGAATATTATGATCAACACTTTGTACCATTAAACCACTCTTACCACCTGGCCACAACCAATTCAATAACACATCAACCCAGTAAACAACCTGTGGCCAAAGTACAGTCCTATAGCAATAACCTCGAAGTACATCCATTAAGCTGTATCAGACAGTCCAGAGCTATTCAATATTACCTTCTCCTAAGTCTCAAGTAAAAATTTCACAGGACCTCAATAATAACGATACAAATTTACAAATATCCCACTCCAAATGCCCAGTTACTCCTTCAATGGATCACAGGAGAAGTTCATCGTCATATCCCATTTGGAAAGACTTGAACTCATATATATCACACCCTAAACCTCAGACAACATTTTCATCTGACCTTAACAAGACATCATCATCATCATTGAAACCAAATGAAACATCCTTAAGATCACAGTTACCCCTCCCCAAAACTCAGACTACATCTTCAAGCCTAGACCTTCACTAGACATCACCTTTACTAAAGTCTAACCAAGAAATTTCAAGTTCATCATTGTCTTATCTCCAACATCAAGAAACACCTCTGCTAAATATCATGTGGGCTTCTTCTTTGAGACCCAAACAGAAAGCTAATAAATCAACATTACTTCAATCCAAATTTCAGAAAACATCTTCATTGGATTGTCTTTGGACATCTATATTGGTACACAATGAAAGATATTTGAGCTCACCATCACTCAGTACTAAACCTCAAACAAGCAACTTTCTTCAGACATCACATTCCTTGGAGTTCAGCCAGATGGCTCTAAGTTCACCACTGCAGGATTTCAGACCTCAAAAAAAGACTATATTGACCTATAATCCCAGTGTTCTGAGTTTACCATCATCCCACAAGAAATTACAGAAATCACCTTTATTGCACTCTGTCCACAGGTCTGAGAGTTTATCAGTGTTCCACCCAAAATCTCAGACATTACTTACACTTGATCATAACTTCCAGACCCTCAGCTCACCCATCTGTCACTCCAAGTTTCAGAATACCACTTCACAGAATGACAAACACACAGCCACAGAACTACCACCATCCCACCCCGAATCAAATGCCCCATGCCAGTCATTGTCAAGCACCAAACACTGCATCAAGAGTACAGCTGCTTCAACATGGGGGTCTGGACTCCAGAATAAAAGCAGCTTTGATTTTAGTGCAAGGACAGAATCAGGTAAAGAAATTCCATGGACTCTAGATTATAGTCATCCCTGCATTGTTAAAGGTGGAACTGTACCTGATCATGTTGTAAACAAAATCGTCAATTCTCTCTCCAAGACCAGAATCCAAAGGGATCTCTCTAGACAGATTCTCTTTCGAAGGATGAGGGGAAAGCCAAATCCTCGTCCTGGTCCTCGCCTTTTATCAACTTACACAGTTTGTTTATCTTGTACTTCTTTCATAAAATCTCCATGTAACCACCTCATAGGAAAGAAAGATCCTCGCTGTGGAACACTATTTGTCATACCAACACCCGAGGCCAATTTTGAGGGGAAAATCAAGGTGAAATTACTTCTTATCCTTTCTCTACCAGAGACTTCTTTCTCACCCTTTCTCCCAATCCTACCTATGAAAGGAAACCAGCCTGAAGATCCCCTTAATGACAACCTTGAAGAAATGGAGAAGATATCACAGTTTTTCCCTACTTCTGAATCTGATATCATTCAAGGGCTTGGAGTGAAAAAAAGATGGTTGGCAGCATCCCCTGAAAACAAAGTTGTAAGTCAAAAGCCCCAAGCTATTGACTGGCTGCTATATGTTAAAAATAACAGTAATTTTCATTCAGAATCCCAGCTCCCAGGTCTTTCTTCATCTTCCTCCTCCTCTTCCTCCTCCTCCTCTTCCATTTCCTCTGCCACCTCTTCTCTAACTTCTTCCTCCCTTTCCCCATCTCCCTTACCCCTTCCTTCCAAAGACTGTGCCCCGTCTCCCCTCTCAGGTTGTGTAGTGTCAGAGGTTCTTAGCTACCACAGATTGCCTCCAGGGGTCTCCTGGCTGGAGTTCATATGTAGTAAAGATTACCAGCCACTTCCCAGAAAACCACATAAAAAGCAGTCATCACATCCCAAAACAAAGCCTGTGGGGAATGCCAACACAATAAAAGGAGCAAAGGGACCAAGTATGCTGCTCAAATTTTTCCAAACTCAGTTTCAAAAATGAGAAATTTGGATTAAATTAACTTTCTGTGTCTTTGAAAGCAGACCTCTTAGTTCTGTGAGACTAATGTTTGATTTCCTATCAAGCTTTCTAATATTCTTAGTAATATCTGTGTCTCTGTATTTTGGCTGATGAAGCACCTACTTAAGAAGAACTATTATTTTTAATTTCATTCACTAGTTATATAATAGATTGATCTCCTAAAGCTAAAATTTGAATTTTATGGTTTTTAACTGAACACCTGTCTTATACTAGCCATTCTATAATTATTGTCATATAAATTTATAGTAGACAAATTCCTTATTCATCTGGCCTTGCACGGAATCTAGTGCACGTTCTCCTTCTCCATAACATATGATAATGACAATATTCTTAACCCAATTTACTCTAATTTTTTCCTGTTTCAAAATAAAATTCAGCTCATACATAATAGGTGAGAAAATATATACAAAAATATTTGCATCTATGTCTTCTTAGAAAAAATCTTCTATGTCAATACTGTACACTCTGAGATCTAATAATTTATTCAACCTTAGTTGAAAAATCAAAGAGAGAATATCTAATACAAATAATCCTACTTCATGCTAATTGTGCCAACATAACAATGATGGGCTCTGAAGTTGCCTGATCATCACTTCCATCTGTACAGCCAAATGGATTATTAAAAAAGTTGTGTAAGAAATGCTTCTGTGCTGGCTGTACTGGTAGCAGGAAGAGATGGTAGTTTCCTTACCTGTTCATCTGAAGTGATCATCTGCATTATCAAGATCGAAAAATAGCTCTTAAGTTACTTTTCTCATTGTTAGTATAAAATACTGAAAAGCCACCTGTAAAAAGAGGATTTATTTCACCTTATAGTTTGTGGATCTTTCAGTCCATACTCAACTGATTTCAAGGTAGTGTGCCATGGCAAGGGAGAAACAGTCCATACCAGTGAGCAGGAGGCAGTGAAGCAGCAAGCAGCAAGGAGAAAATAGTAAAGCTCAACTTCTTACTGTTCTTTTATGTTCCATCCAGGCTACAAGCCTATTGATTGGTACCAATCATGCTTAGGGTGGGGCTTCAATTATCTACATGTAGAATTATGCTAAAGAAATTTGGCTACCACATAGTTATTCCAGTACCACATACTCTAATCCAGAATCACACACCCATGATCCAGCAACCTCACAAAAGCCCTACCTATGAGTACATGAGACTTTGGAGGGTTATCTAGATATAAACCATAACAGCACTTTCACATTCACTAATGACTCGCAGTCCTGATTTCCTACCGTAAATATTTTCTGATTACCAGCATGCAAACTGAACATTTCTAATTGGAACATGATATGGGCATCTCAAACTCAATATGGCCAACCTATAATTCATCATTATTAGCTTTAGAATTTAAATATTTTATTTCTAGAGTCCTTGTATTGCCATCCACGATGATATCTTGTGTGGCTTTTAAAAATTTATGCTCTTCATGCTCATGAATTATATGGCTTTATTGTTGATGGCTTACAAACTTTTTTCTCCTCCATTGTCATTCTCCTAGTTGTGATCGCAGTCAGTGTTCACTAGAGGAATGGATTTAATATATAATCTAGCTATATATATGACATAAATATATTAATGAAGGATATATATCTTGTATTTAATATGAGATATATAAATGTGTATTGATATAAGATATAATGATATAAATATATATATCATATTTATGAGTTTATAAGGTAGCTTACAATGACTAGTTATAAAGTCAGCTATGGAGGAATGCAAAAGGGCCATCTGTGCTCTGAAGATCGGGAGGATACAGTTGAAAGTCAAAAGACTGGTGCTCAGTAAAGAGTCCTGCGTGAGTCTGTATTAGCAAAGCAAAAGGTCTGTAATGAAATGCTGGGGAGTCTGCTGGAGAGTCTATTGGCTGGTGACACACACTCAGGGTGGGCGTTTCCTTTTCAATTATTCCATTATTTAATCATACCAGCACTATGCTAAAACAATCACCTGAGCATTTCTTACTCAAATTGACACATTAGCTACCTATCACACCATTTTTCATCTGTATTATGGCAAAACATGCATGTGCACACTTTAACCTTGAAAAATGCATTTCTGAGATATAAACGTGATAATACCATTCAATTTTTTTTTTTTTAGCTATTGCATATTGTTCTGCTATAAACATGGGTGTGGATATATTGCTGTAGTGTGATGCTTTTTATTCTTTTGGGAAGATACGACAAAGAAAGAAAACTGGGTCAAATGTAACCTCTAGTTTTAGCTTTTTGGGGAATATTCACACTGATTTCCACAGCAATTGTATTAGTCTACACTCCTACCAATATATAAAGCCAATAGGAAGTCAAGACTTCTGGAAACTTTTTAAAAAATTAATATTATTGGTACATTTTAGGTATACAATATGATAACATTAATCATTGGAGATTTTAACCTTTACATAATATTATCTTGATTCTTATTTTTCCCCATTCCCTTTCCTCCCTACAATCCCTCCAACCCTCTCTGTTTACAAAGACTTTGTTTCGATTTTTACATTTTCTCATGTTACTTCTATTCCCTTCTTTCCCCTACCCTTTACCAGTTCCCCTTCCCCTTCCCCTTTGGATCTTTTCTTCCTATTTCACATTATATATTATACATTTTGATCCTTATTTACATTTTCAGCTTCTCACACCAGAGAAACTTCAGTATTTACACATGTGTCCTATTATTTTACTTGAGTATCTCATCAATGTGCATCCATTTAGTTATAAATGTCTCTAATTTTTCATTCTTTATGTTTGAGTAGTACTCTATTTTATTTAAAAAATAGCATTTTCTTTATCCTGTCTCCAGCTGATGAACAAATGTGCTGTTTCCAAATTTTAGCTATTACAAACTGTGCTGCTATAAACATGGGTGCGCATATATCACTGTGCTATGATTCTTTTAATTCTTTTGAGCAGACACCAAGAAGGGGAATAGCTGGGTCAATGGAACCTCTAGTCCTAGTTTTTTGAAGAATCTGCTCACTGATTTCCGCAGTTGTTGCCCCACTTTGCACTCCCACCAACTGTGGTGATGGTTTCTTTTTCCTGCACAGCCCTGCCAGAATTCAATATTGGTTGCTTTCATAATAGCAGCCACTCTTTCTGGAGTGAGATGGAACCACAGCATTGCTTTCATTTGCACCTCTCCAATGACCAGTGATGTTGAACATTCATATGTTTATTCACTGCTTCTGTTTCTTTGTCTGAGAAGTGTGTGTTCATCTCATATGCCCATTTTTGCATTGGGTCTTTAAATTTGGGATGTCTTTTTTTTGTTGTTGTTCTTTATTCTAGATAATAGTCCTTTGAGGTCCAACTGGTATTTTTTGTTGTTGCACATTTTATGTTATCTCTTCACTTTGTTGGTGGTTTCATTTGTTGTGAAAAAGATTTTCAATAAGATAAGGTTTCAGTTGTTAATTCTTTGTGTTAGTTCACATGCAATTCAGATTTTGTTCATAAAGTCTTTTTTATGCCAATGTCTTCAAGAGTTCTACCTAACCTATCTTCCAGCAGGTTTAGTGTTTTTGTTTTAATATTTAGACATTTAATTCATTTCCATATGGTGAGAAATATATGACTAGTTTTAGTCTTTGGCAAGTTGAAACCCATTTTTTCCAGCACCATTTATTAAAAAGACTATCTTTTCTTCAGTGAGGGTGCTTGGCTCCTTCACCAAAAATGAAGTGCTTATTATGTCTGGTGTTGTTTCTGCAACTTCTAAACTATTCCACTGATAAACAAATTTGTTTCTTTGCTAGTATCATGCTGTTTTTTCACATTAGCTTTGTAATATAGTTTAAAGTTGGAAATTGTGATATACCTTGCCTTTGTTGCCTAGAATTGCTTTTGCTATCTAGGTCACTTCTGATTTCAAATGAATTTTTGTGTTGTTTTCTCCAATTCTGTGAAATATGCTGTTGGAATTTCAATTGGGATTGTATTGAATCTATATAGCACTTTTGGAAGTATGACCCTTTTAACTATATTGGTTCTTCCAGCCCAAGAACAGGGTATATCTTTCCATTTTATGACATCTTCCTCCATCTAATTTTTCAGAATGCTGTAGTTTTCAGAGTAGAGGTCTTTTACTTCCTTTATTAGATTGGTTCCTAGGTATTTCTTTTTTTATTTTTTGGATGCTATTGTGAAAAAGGAGTTTTTTCCCCAATTCCTCTCTCAGTGAATCTGTTATTCATGTACAGGGAGGTTATTGATTTTTGAGTGTTGATCTTGTATCCTGCTACTCTACTGAATTTGGTTATTAAATCTGGAAGTCTGTTGGTAGAGCTCTTGGGGTTTTCTATGTAGAAGACCATGTCATCCAGAAATAATGACAATTTAAATTCTTCATGTCCTACCTTTATTCCTTTTATTTATTTCTCTTGTCTAATTGTCTTTAATTGTCTCCTATCCTAGGATTAATGTCCTTTACCAAATTAAGTTAAAGACATCAATTCCAATTTTCTGTAGAGTTGTTATCATTAATCAGTGGTGAATTTAATTGAACACTTTTTCTGCATC